TCTCCAAAAGGTTGTGTTCACCTCGAGAGCAAAAAGCCAGAAGATAAACGAGCACACCATCCTAGAAGGATTTCAGTACAAGAAATTCTCACCTCTGGCAGGGCAAGGGTAAGGGCAGCACATGAGGCATTCAGCTAATTATAACCCAACATCTACCTACCAGGAACATCATAGGAAATGTTACCCCAGTTTACACAGAACTGGAACCAGATTTTTCTTTACAAGCATCAGAGAGGTTTGCCTAATGTAACATTTTGCTTCTTAACTCTTAGTTCTTAATTCCAAGGGTACAAGAAACTGCAGAGCCAAAAAAAAGGGGGGGGGTGTGGAATCTCCTTTATATTCCTCCCTTTCCAAGGCAGTGTCATTGCTCTCTTCCCAAGGACAGTAAAATGTGATAGGCACCATGCAAGCCAGCACAGCAAACTTTCAGATGCCATAATCTCAGAGAAAATACCACATTTACCATTACTGTTGAAAAGGCAAAGTGTAGCGGTACCCCTCCTCTGCAGAAGCATACCCTCAAAATATGTCAAAAGACCCTGCTCTCCGGCCACACCATTGTCCCAATTTATTTATATACAAAAGGTGACACATACAACCAATTTTCTAGTGTGATGGCCAAGAAGATTATTTATTTCAGAAGAAAGATACTTTAAGCACCAGCAATCAGAGCCTGAATACTGAAGGTGAAATCTCAGCCCTGACAAAGCTAGCAGAACCTTCTCCCCCACTGACTGATAGGTCCAGCTCTCCTCTGCAGCACAGAGGGAACACATTTTATTTTTAAATGTTAAGTAACTCACATGAAATGTCCAGTGTTTTTAAAACTACACATTTCCCTATTACAACCTAATACTTATTCAGTGGAGATCTCTGATGGAAATAAGTGCCAGGCACATGTTTTGTTGGTCAGCTGGATTTGTTGACCATTACATCAAGTTTTACTTTCAAATACACTTCTGCAGTGTAATCCAATTAGCTTTTAAAGCAACACTGACACTGTTAAATTCTATAATTAATGAAAGTAATAATTAATGTATTTGTACAAGTTATGACCAGGTCAGGTATTTCAAAGGCAGCTGATCACAGTATTTACATGAATGTAGGAGAACATAAAGCAAGTAATTATTCCTTTTGTAAGGATCTCAGTCCCTCTGTAGTTGTTTCAATTTTGCTGATATGTGATTCTAGTGTGGTAAGAGATCTGAAACTATTCTTAGACCATGGCAGAAGGCATGAAATGGGTTCTTGGCAGGTCTTACACTCCCCACTATAATGAGAGCAAGTCACTTCATTTATTTTGATGAGCAGAGAAAAGAATGAAAGGCAGAGCATAAATAAGCTCCTCAGACTGTGAACAAGAACTAAGATAGAACCAGGTTTTGTGGAGGAACCAGGTAATTCTTTCCTATCTCCTTTGCAGAAGTCTGGCCATGAGTTTACAGCATATAGTGGGAATTAAAAAAAAAAAAAACCTAGTCATATTTTTCACCTCTGCTTTTGAATTTCTTGAAGTCAAACACAAAAGCATTTACAAACTAAACACAAGACTTAAGCAGGTTCACAAGGCTCCCACTGGTGGGTCTTGAGGGAAGAAGAACAGCAGGATGGAGACAATGCCACTGGACCCTGGTCAGAGAGACAAAGGCAACTCCTCTCGTGTTAAAAGCTGCAAGATGTGCTGGCATAGATGCTTCAATTTTTCATTTTATTTTCCTTTGTAGATTGAAAAAAGCTGAACTCCAAGCCTAAATGTTTCAGTCATGGAAAATGAGTACTTTTCATCTGAATACAAATGAATTTCCCACTTTCCATTTTTAGGTACCAGTAGCAAACTCAAGCACACAAGCCCCCAAGACTCAAGGAAACTTTTGCTATGACCTGAGGTGCTCAGGGAAGGCAGAGATGCCTCACTGTTGGGTTTGCAGGAGGGAAAGGGGTACAGCCCTACCAAGGAGGACCAGGGCTACTGACCCAAACTGGGGTCAAAACACCATGCTCTTCCCCTCCCCAAATTCAGTTTTGACATTGGCCTCGAGCAGAAGGGACACTGGGCTCGTATCACTGATTTTGCCCCCTCTCCATTCCAATGCTATGAAAAAAAAAATGGGGGAAAAAAAAAGCATCCACAAAAAGTGAGGCCTTAGTTTTCAGCAAACATGGAATACCATAGTCATGGGGTGTTGGGGAAAACATGATTTATTCCTGTTTTGTTTATAAACAGACTGAGCAGCAGCTTCAGCCAGGACAGCTCAGGCTGCTATGGCCCGTATAGCAGGACTGTGAAATACAGGATTCTTATGGGTTTATTTTTTGTAAAAATAGATGATTTATGCCTATTTCAAGTGTTGCTGTGCCTCATGGCAAAAGAAATAAGCAAATTTTTTAAGAGTTTAAATCAAAATTATGCATGTGTTACATTTATGACCAAAAAAATGTTAAAGGGAGTAGCAAGGAGAGGCATGGATAGAAAGGGAGGAACTGAAGTCTCAAAATCTTCCATGCCACAGCTTACACAAAACCCTCTCTTGTCCCAGCACTAGTTTATACACTGGTCTGCTAGATTAAAAATAAACCAGACCACCTCTTTTTAACTCGTGCCTAATAAGGCACACCATACATACATTTATCTATAGATCATGGCCCGGCCTTGGAAAACAGTAGAGTTGCTGTGCTGCTCAAAAAGCCTGGGCCACCTTAAAGCCGCTTGCCTGCGGGGCCAGGCGCTGTCAGGCACAGATGTAACCCAAGCCCCAGCTTCGGCGATGGGACCGAGCAGCGAGCCGCCAGCATGCCACGAGAGCGGCAGCGGGGCCGCGGGCTGACAGGCAGCACCAAACATGGAGAAGGTGGCACCGCACTGGGGGGACGAGAACTTGGACAGCCCGGCTAGCAACCAGTGTTTGCAAACACAACACGGGGGATCAGATGGGCCGGCAATAAATTAGGGCCGGGCAGCGGAGAGCGAGAGAAATCAGTCAAAGTAACAGATCTAGGCAAAGAGGGCTCCCCGGCCACCCCCAGTTTCGTTTTAGCGCCTGAACACAGGGATGGGGATGCGCCAGCTCCTGGGAGGCTGAAGCACGACGGAAAAAACGCTGTCTGTCAAGTGAAACTAAGTAACGAGTGCTTCCAGCGCCAATCCCCCAGCTCGGAAAGTTAGTCGCAGCCTTCCCAAATGCTGCTTTATCCCATGCTCAACTCCATCTGACCCCAGCTAGAGCTCCACTTCAAAGAACGGGAGGGGACTTACAGTGATGGGGGGAGCTCCTCACCACAGGCTCCCTGAGGTGAGGTCTGCTCCAGCCCAGCTCATCACTATATCCAAAAAGCAAAGGATTTGGGCTTTCTGTATTCTGGCACACTTCCAGATCTGTTGGGGAAGAGATTTCTGCTAAAGCAGGGCTTTGAGGTAACATTTCTCAGTATCTGAAAACCAAAAACGGCCCAAGGACTGCCACAAGCACCTGGTTAAACCCAGAGCAGCACACAGAGCTGGGAGGTAGGAGAAGGGGCAGCCACAACCTGCCCACAGGGCCCAATAGCTCAGTGCTGCCCAATTACTGCTCTGCAGCTTCATCTCAGCCATGATCTCATTCCAGGTACTGAAGAAGTACCCTGCGAGGTTCAGAGAAGCTACAGCGTTTTCAGAGAAAGACAGAGAACATCTTCCAGCACTCCACTTTTCTAAAAATAGGAAGGCTTGCGGAATACAACGACATATCCAGCTGCAAATCTTCTACAGCTGCATCTTCTACAGATGAAGAGCATCATCATGACCCCAGAGACTCAATAAAAGCATTCTGGGATACTGTAGCAAGTATCGAAACAAGCCCAGTATGTCTACACTCTTGCCAGGAGCAAGGGGACAGTTCAGCAATTTCAAGCTTCCACAAGACACACGCACAGAGGAGTATCTCACAGGATCCCTAAGTCCTACAAAGCCATGAAACTTGGCTGAGGAAAAGGGATAAAATACCAGCCCGCTCCATTCTCCTGCCACACCGTGCAGGTTGGAAGTAGCAAGCTGCACAGAAAAATTAAGCAAGTTAAATACATACAGTATGAGCTAAGCAGCAAATCCTTCCATAGTTTCCCACTGCCACAGCCAGTCTCTGCCAACCATGCCTCCGAATGGCATAAGAACCCAGGGGAAAGGAAATTTAATCTAGAGGGCAGCATTGTTATAAATAGGATCTCGATAATAAAGTGAAGAAAGGGAAGTGTCCTTGGATGATGCCTTAATTGGTGAGGCTCATCTCCACCAAAGCATTATGTGATAAACCAAATTCCATATTAAAACAGAAGCCTTTACAGGATAGCCTGTAAAGCTTATGTATACATACATAAGCACTCATACACAGAAATATACCAATTTCAGATCACTTTTTAAACAAATAATTTTCTTCTCTCCCTTATTCTGACCCTGTATCACCAAAATTTTGGTGATAGATCACCAAATCAAATAGATTTGATTGTTCAAGTTTTGCTGACTGGTCCATGACACAATGCCTCAGACCAAGTGACCTCCCTCGCCTTTCATCCCCCCTCCTTCTACTCTCCCACTGTCCATCTCCAGCACCTATGAGTCCAGTTTTACATGGATTAAAATAAGGCTCCTATGTAAAGGTCAGTCTGATAAGCTAAAAGAGAAGTATCCCCTCCTGGACTTCTGCTCCTTGGGCTATAAATACTAAGAATAAGCACTGGGGGAAATTCTTTGCACAGACAGACACCAGGAAGCACATTTCCTCCTCCTTCCACTTCTCACCTCTCCTGCTACTCAAACGTCCAGAGAAAAGCAAGCATCTCTCTGCTACCAGCTCCATTATTTGTCCATGAAAGGCATTTGCTTTGCCACTGGTAACTTGAGAAACACAGGCCTTCCCAGAGATAAACAGATACTTTCAAGGTGTAACCATCAGCAAGGCTGACAGCAGAGAGTACACACTGCAAAGCAAGCCAACACACAGTGCCTGGGCAAAGAGGACGATTACCTTTTAGGACTAGGGGCTCCTTGCCTTCTCGCTTGAGTGACTCCAGCACTATGTGGAGTGGCTGGGAAGGCATCACCCTGCTTGGCTCATTGGTATTCTCATCATAAACTACAATTTCTTTGGAGAAGATTCTCTTGAAGGAGTCCTTGCCTTCCCGGCAAGAGATCAAGTCCAAGACTGTGATCTTGCCCTGCTGGAGCCTTCTCCGGCTGATCTTGTCAGAACAGTTAATGTGGACAGCCCCTTGAATGTGGCTCTTATTATACTCCATGAAGGGCCTGCAGTCAATGATGACAGGCCCTTGGTTCTGTTGGTGGCTCTTGCTGCATTTGGTCATCTTCTTGGCCAGATCATTGGGGTAAATGATTTTGATGCTGGCAAGTTGCTTGGCGCTGCCCGAGACAGGGCTCCCCCCTCCACCCAGCGGGCTCAGACTGCCAGCATTCTCATTGCTGTTGACCATTTGGTTGGCAGGGCAGGTGGGGGAGGCTCCGGTGTGGGTGCTGCTGGTGCTCGCTGGAGTTTGGGCCTGAGTGTCCTTGTCGTATGTTGCCACAGTGCAGCAACTGGCACTGCTGCATCCACAACTCAGGGAGCGTGCAGAGCCGTTGGATGAGGGCATATACGTCAGATTAGCAGCCTTTAGGGACACGACAGGTGCACCGAAGAGACTGGAGTGGCTCTCACCAGCAGAAGAGGCAGATTCAAGGAAGCTAGAGTCTAAACACAGGCTGAGATCCTGAGGTCTCACTGGCCTCGAAAGTGCCACTACTACCCTGTCGTCTAAAGGAGATGGAGGCATGAGGAGGCTGAGCACTAGCAAGTTAGGAACTCAAGATCACCCTGAAAAGAAAAAGCAGAAGGGAAAGAAGAAAAAAGGTGATGAAAACAGATAATGAAATCACATAAACCGACAGATCCAGCAACTTATTTTGCCAACACCCATTATCCCTAACCTAACAACCCCTTCTGACAGTAGCTGCTAAAAAGCCTTTTCAGTGCTGCAGAGAATCTATCAGAGAATCTATTCAGCTATCTGCATGTGTGCCCATGGCATGCAAAATCCACACGAGCAGCCTGGACCGTGCAGTGGCACCCAGGAGAAGGCATTTAGCTACATGCAGATTGTACTGAGCTGTTCCAAAACCCCAGGCTGCAAGGCTCACTACCAATAATGACAGAGGCATGTTCCCTTATCCCATTGCTCACTGCAAAGGAAGCAACTACTGGGCTGAGTCTACTACAGGGAGGAACGTGTAAGAGCTGAATAGCTGAATGTGTCAGGGGTGATATGCAACTTTTCCAGCATGCTGGAATAAAATTAGCCTGTGAATAAATTTTCTGAGACAGTTACAAACTTGAACACATAAGGCAAAACAAAAAAATACCCAGAAGAAAACAAAAAAATTAGCTTCTGGAGATCCTTATAAGCATGCATCTTGCACTTCCCTCCCCCAGTTCGAGATGAATCCAACCCCAGTTAAGCCCCTAGCTCCAGGCTCGGGAAGTCTGCTGTTCTCCAACAGTCCGTGAGGTAAATTCCCGCTCCCCACCACATTTCACAGCTTCTTCAAAGAGTGGTCCCCTCTGCCCTAACCAAGGTCACTGCCTGCCCCACCTTTGCCTTCCCATTTGCTAAGACGCAGCACGTAAGATTTGAACCTCCCCGTTTCTACTCGGCAGACAACGAAGACGACAGGAGGAAAATACCCAAAGCCAGCCCTGAAGCGCGTGCCCTTCACCAGCAACTTGGGAGCAGCCGCAGCTCTCTCTGAAAAACCCATCCCAACACCAACTTCACCAACTCGCCCAGAGCGGGGCAAGCACTCGCAGCTCCCGTTTGCCGCCCCGGCCACCTAGGAGATGTCCATCCCGAATAGGGGATGGCCGGGGGGCATTGCCACCCCCATCAGCCAGCGCTCTACGGAGCGAATCCGCCGGCACCTCAGGAGCGCGGAAAGGTGCCGCGACCCGCCCGCCCGGGCACGGCGGAGGTGCCGCGGCCGGGCAGAATGGGGCCAGCGGCGTCTCGCTCGGGAGGCTTTCCCAGCCCGTTCTTTTCCCAACCTTCCCCTCGCCCTATTTTAGGATAAGAACTAGGATAAGGGCCCCCCGAGCGCCTTCGCCTGACGCAGTTTAAATTTTTAAATAAACGAGGGAGACAACTCAACTCCCCCAGCGAGGGGAGACAACGAAAGAGACCACGAAAAGCGGGAAGCTAAAGTTCTGCCCCCGATCGCCGGGAGCGGGGGCTACCGCCAAAAGCGCGACAGGCCGGGTCGGCGCTCCCCGCCGCGGCAGCCTCTGCGCGGGCTGCCGCAGCCGCGGGCCCCCACTCCTCGCCGTGCCGTGCCCCGCGCAACTCAGTTCGGCTGCCCCGTACTCACCGGCGCGCCGCGCTCCGGCCCGGTGCGCGGAGGTGGCGGCGGCCGCCGCGGGAGGAGCCGCTGGTGCCGGTGCGTGTCGCGCCCGCTGCCCCGCGCGCCGCCCGCCCCGCGCGCCGTGCGCCGCCCGCACCATCCTCGTTACTTTCTCTTTTGCTACCGCGTAAATGTACGGCCCGGCGGGGGCGGGGTCCGCGCCGACGGACGGCCACGCCAGCCAATCGAAGCGCGGGGGCCGGCCCGGAGGCTGGGATATGACGTCATTGACAGCCAATGGGGAGGGCACGGCGCCAGCCCCGCGCTTCGGGGCAGCCGCCGCTCCCCGCGGACGGGCGGGGGCGGCCCTCACGCGCGGCCCCGCGGCACCGCCCCCGCAGGACGGGGAGCGCCCGCGAGCGCCGCGCGTCCGGCCGCGGCCCAGGGGAGCGGGGCAGCGGCGCTAGCTACGGGGGCCGGGAGAGCACCAGCCCCGCTCCGGAGCGCGGCGGCAGCGGGCAATGCTGCCCATCCGCCCCAGCCCCGCCGCAAGAGGCTCGGCAGTGAACGAGCGGGGCCAACCCGAGAGGATGCTGTATAGGTGCTTTTCCAAGCAGTCCTTCCCTGTCAGAAACAAGCCCGCATGAGGTCCCTGGGAGAAGGAAAGCCCAGCAACCATATCTCCTCCTGGGTCAGTCCATCCCGCATCAATCCACCAAGGCAGAGACTGGGAAAGTGGTATCTCCATCCTACCAGTCCACCCTGACCATGGCAGCACTGGAGAGTTTCAGCCACAGCCCAGCATGCAAACCCACTGAGCTACAGGAGGAAGGGTGAAGTTGGAGCAGATAAGAACAAGCCCACATTAACTTCTTGGGAGTAGAAGAACAGTAATTTCCTCACACAAAATCAGTAAATCACAGGGAGAGCAGATGTGCCCTCCACTGCCCAGAGACAGCCAGGCCTGGAGGTCCCTGTCTGCCTGACCCCCAGTTGCTCTGTGTTATGGCAACTCAGAACCCAGCTTTGGCACATTGTCCAGTAAAGATCCTGAATGTTCAGATTAGACTGGACTCTCCCAGTCCAGACAGTATAAAAAGGAAAGCAGCACAGGCTGGAGGAAAAGATTTTGAGGATAAGCATGAATCCCTTTCATCCTTTCTGTCAGAGGCTGACATGGACAAAATAATGAGCTCTCACCCTTGTTACGTGAGCACTACAAGGTGAGAATTGATTTTCAAGCCACATGGATCAGCTCATCACACACACTAGGAGAGTATCTGGCAGCAGCACAGGATTTCTGCACCTCTTTCTTCCTCACTGTGCAATCTGTTTACACATTTCCTGGTTCAGCAACTATATCTCATCATGTACCAGTCCATCACATATCAATCCACCAAGTCAGTGAGTGACAGGGAAAGTGGCATCTCCAGAGCAATGCATCCTCCCATGTCCTTCCTAACCACGGGAGTGACAAAGCATTTCACCTACAACTGGGAATGCCAACCAAGCTTTAAGCTACAGGAGGAAAGATGAAGTTAGAGCTGGTAAGAAGTTGTCAGCATGATAACATTGAATCTAAATTAGCCCCCAAAGATTTTGGTTCTGGGATGTATGCGGATAATTCATTTTTCAACTGGGATTTTCAAGCTGTAACTACTAATCCAACTGGGTCTGTTGAAAAAAAAAATCAAATCAGTAATATCATCATCCAGCAACTCAGTTAAAAAAATTATATTATATATACACAACTTTACTGACTTCATGCTCAATATATTTTATTAGCCTATGACATATGATTGGCCTTTTTCCTGCTCTCAGAAACCACAGCCCACTGTGACTTTTTTTCTGACCATATTCAATGCATAGCATTCTAAATGTTTTTGCTCTCTGTAATTTAACACCCAAAACAGACAAGACTTATCTATTCCCTAAAAACTAAGCTTCTATTTTCTGAAAAGCACACAAGAATTCTTACTATGAAAGCTAGCAGATCTTAGTTAAATTCCCACTTCCAGCAGTAGCAGCACATGGGATTTTGACATTTATTTTCCTCAAATGCTTTTGCCACCATGGTGCACTTGCTCAGACATTTGAAGAAAACCACAGGCAGACAAAAGTGAAATAATCTCAGAATTTAAGCAAATTCTCACAAACTCTCACAGTATAACAATTGCATAAAATCCAGTCAAACCCATTCAACCTCCCAAAAAGGGTAAAGATTGCTAAAAGCAGATGCTGAATATTTAACAGATGTGAAATAGAAGCCATCACAATTCTTGCCAACAACACAGACACCCCTTAAGTGCTCTCAAACTCAACAGTTCCTTCTTATTGAAATACTTCTTGCACATCAACCATTCTTCCACTCTACAATCAGGAACCTTTTATCTTGTTTAGGATTAGAAAAAGACTCAGAACGTAATTGCCTTCATCAACACAGCACCTGTCCTGCACCTAAGTAGAGAAGAAGGTGTGTTGTCCTATTCCCTGAATATTCATATCTCTGGAGTCATGCATGAAGAAAGAATTTCACCTGTTGTATATATGACTGCAGAATGGGGCACTCCAATGTTAACTGCTCTCTGGGGTTATTATTCTGGTTTTAGAAGCACAGTAACAACCAAAGCCAGGAGTTCACAGTAACAGGCTGAGCGTAAAGACAGCAAAGGACAGACGCCTATCCCTCCTGAGATTGTCATTTGAAGAGAGCAATGCAAGTTCCCAATTTTACCAGCAGAAATGGGAAGCAAGAGGCTGAATGACTTCTCCAAAGTAATACAACAGCTTACACAGTGGAGCAGAAAATTGGGAAACTGGGGAAAACAAAGGTGCTAACCGGCATAGTATTTCAACTGCAAACCTGTAGCTCGTACTTCATCAGGTATCACATGAATTGGCTAAAAGAAAATGTCCTTGGGGCTAAACTGAACATCTATGTGTTCACTACTTAAATTTGCCCATTTGTTTTTTAAGCAACCTTTGATTCTTGTTCGGTTTTAATACATTGCATGGCGCCTTTGTTTGTCCTTGCTAGAAATGTCAATTCACTACACAGGCAAAGCTGAGAAACCACTGTTTGCCATTTTGCAAGAAAAGGATATCCCCCTTTTCGCTTTCTTTTGGAAGCCTGTTTTAAAGTCACCTTAGTATAATACAAGCTTCCCTCTTAAATGATCGTCTGGTATGAGAGGAAACAACCTGTTTTAGACAAACAGTTCATCTTCTAAGCAAGGGGGTGGGATTGAACTGTGCACAAAATGAATTTATAAGGAAAATGAGAGCCAGTTGTAAATATAAAGATGCATCCTGGTACTCCTGCTTGCTTTTTATGGCTTATCCCCAGTGGGGAAGCTGCTATAAAATGACCTAAGTGAGAAACTGAAATGCAACAGCTCTGGCACTGTAAGTCCTCATGGTTGCTTCTGTTGCACAGTTACCAGCCTGTGTGGGTTTGGTAAGGACAAGTGTCCCTTCCCTGGGGCACACCACAGGACAGTTAGGGCCAGGAGGTCATGGTGGTGAGCAGCATCCTTTAAACAAAGCAACAACACAAGCAGTCAGACAGGTGAAGTCAGCCCCCATCTCCTGACCATGCCTACTCCAGTTCAGCTCTGAGTCACTGCTGTGGAACTGTGGTCAGATACTCACCCCACAGCCCTTGAAGGCATCCCTGCCTTCCTTGTGCTTGGTGGCAGATGACAGCTTAAACTGATGCAGATGAATGAATTAGTTTGACAAATAAGGGGACAAGCCTGCCTGGGAGAGTTGGCCTCCAGCAGCCCCATCAGCATCCCCCTGACCCTTCTGCCAGCAGAGTGTGGGGATGGCTGCACATTGTGGGGAGTGGGAAGTGATTCGACACCTTTAAGATGCTGGAATGAGATGATGTGTGCTCACAGCCTTGTTTATACAATTTCATTAAACAAATGCAGCTACAGATTGACATTGTAATTCCTCTATATGACATTTACTCAGGGTTTCAAAACAAACATATTTCCACTTACCTGGCTGTATATTCCCCCTTTAAAGTCACAGAGATTAAATAGGAGTTTGCTTCAGTAAAGTCATCTAGTTTTTCAAACCTGCCTAGGTCCAACCTGCTCATTTTTATCTAAGGTTCTCTAATCATCTCTGGCTGCAGCCTGGCCAGGAATCTCAGCAGAACAGACAGAGATTATTATTTTCTTAACAGTCCTTTTGTCATTATGATTTTCCCATTTAAACTGTGGCTGTTTGAGTGAACAGGCAGTTACTGGTCTCCCCAGGGTACTTGTACCTTAGAGAGCAGAAGAGACTGGTTACAAGAAGTCTTCAGGTGTGTTCCTGCAGCCTCCACACCACTAGCATGAAGCAACACATCAGGAGCACACCAAGAGCACATCAGTAGGACACGACAAGGCAGGCACATCTGTGCTGCCCAGGAGGGGACAAGAGCTTGGGAGGAAAGGATTAAAAGAGTATGAGAAGAAAAAAGAAACTGCTTTCTGAAGGTCTTTATTTATAAATTGCCTCCAGGCCAGACACAGTCTTACTTCCTTTTCTTAGAGCTTGGGTGATATCCCTCACACTGTCTCTCCTTAGGAGAGCCAAAAGGGAAGACACTGGTGATGAGGAGCAGAGCAAGAGGGCTGGAAAAAGTCCAGTTGGAGTCACTCCCATAACTCTGTTCAGCAGTTTGGGGTCATAAAGGCTAGTCCCTCCTGGCTTCAAAAAGAAATCAGGAAAGGTGAATTATTCAAATTGGCTCTGTTGGAAAATAAGTGCACAGACATTCGCTGCAGCAACAATCGCTGTGAGCTGAGAGTGCTGCAGAGCTATTGACAGCCAGCTGGGCCAAATTCCACTCCCCGTCACACCCAACCCTCCTGATCGATGCTGTGAGAGCAAACAGTGCCTTCCATGCACAAGGTCCCCTTCCCAGAGGCAAATATCTGATTGTCCTGGCCTGGCAGCTGCAGGCGGATGTGCACAGGACAGAGGAGGGCATGCTAGGGCTGACACAGTGGGACAGGGCACTTCTGGGACTCCTTTCAGCACTCCAGCTGAGAGAGGCTGTAGGTATTGTCCTGGGCAGACCTAAGCCTTCCTACCCCCCTGCAAAGCCAGATGGCAAAACCTTTGCTTCTCATGCCAGGAAGGATGGCTCCCTGCCTGCTAAAAA